GGTGGCAGGTGGGGTGCCAGGGTAACAGTAGGTGGCTGGGGTGACACAGGGGGTGCTCAGGGTGGTAGATGGGGTGCCAGGGTGACAGTGGATGCCCAGAATGGTGCTCAGGGTGATGGCACAGCAGGTGCTCAAGGTGACAAAGAGGTTTCTCAGAGTGACACATGGGATGCTCAGGGTGACAAAAGGAGTGCTCGGGGTGACACAGGGGATCCCCAGGTTGGCACAGGGGGGCCCTGCACATCCTGGGGTTGTGCCCTGCTGCCCAGGCCAAGGTGAGGATGAGGAGGAGGCAGCAAGGCTGAAGGCACAAGATCCCCCTGCAGGTGTGAAGAGCCATCGAGCTGCCAGCTCAGCACCATAAGCTCCCAAATCCAATCAGCTTCCTGAGCCCTGTGCCGGGCTGAGCTGGGGGGTGACACAAGGGGTGCTCCACACTGTACCCCCCGGCACCGTGGTGGCATCAGTGAGCAGATAAGTGGCCCAAGGGCAGATGGGGAGGTGGTGGAAGAGGGAATGTGGGTGGGGGGACAAGGGGACAGTTTGGGAGGGGGGGTTAGAGAAATGGAGGTCGGGGGGGGGATGACCTGTGGGGTGCCCTAAGCAGGATAATCCCCCTAAGGGGTTTAGGGCCGCCTGAGGCACGGGGGCTTTGCCACAGGGGTCACAGGCAGCTCCAGCCCCATAATTAGCTCAAGGGTTTAACGAAGGATTTGCCACCACGTGTCTTCCCATGCCCTGGTGGGGACCCCCCAAAATCAGCCTCTTGCTCAGGCAGAGCCCCCCAGCCAGGCGAGACACCTCGTCCTGGCTACTCTGAGTTTGTCAGTCTCTGCTGCTGGACACGGGGCTCCTTCACCCCCTCAGGACCAGGTGTTGCCCCCTGAGCCCAGCCCAGGGTGCTGGGTGGGTGCCCCCCCCAGGGGATGAGGGGAATGGTGCCCGGGGCTTCTTTTGGTCTCCTAATTACACACCAGCCGTGGAAAGGGTGGAATTAAATCCCCACTGGAGGCAGAAACATCCGCATCGCCAGGTGGGTGCCGGCGGCCAGACTGGGCGGACACACGGGCACCAGCACAGGGGGTGCACACACATGTACACACATGTGCACACATGTACCCATACGCACACACACACACATGCATCCCTTGGCACACAGAGCCCCGTGGAAGTCTCCCTGTGCCTGCAGGGCACCGCGGTGCCAACCCTATGCCCACTGCCAAGGCTGCCACGGTGCCACCAGCTCCGGCGCAGGGACAAGCGCCATCCCCAGCCGTGTCCCCAAGTGACCCCGTCTTGCCCGCTGCCCGTTTTCCAGGCCAGGGTGGTGTCACGGGAGGGGACACATGGGACAGCCGGGCACCGGTGCCACCCTGGCACAGCCACGCCAGGGCGGGTCACGCCCCCGTCGCTGCCAAACTCTTGTCGTGGCAGGAGGCAGGGAGGACCCCGGGCCCCCCCGCGCTCCCCCTGCTCGCTTTGGGCTGCCTTGGCGGCGCTCGCAGACACGCGGTTGCGTAAGTGGTTGTGACAGGCCCTCCCAAAAAACGTGAGAACCAGCTGCGGAGGTGGCGGGAGCCCCATGGCGGGGCAGGGACGAGACCCCGGGGGCATTCTCGACGTGCCTCAGTTTCCCTGGGAGGACAGGGGGCCGAGATGTCCCGTGCGGATGGATGTGCCCAGCCGTGTGTCCCTGCCCCCTCCCCGGGGCTGCTCCGGTCATCGAGGGTGCACACACGCGCTATGCTCACTGCTCTGTGCACACATGCGTGTGCAAGCGTGTAACAAACATGGACAAACGGGTACGAGTGTGCACAAGTGAGCACGGTCACACGCATGACCGAGGTCCCCGAACGGACCCAGCCGCCTCTCCCTTGGCCACCGTGACGCCGCAGAGGGAACACCTCGTGTCCCCCTGTCCCTATCCCCCCACCTCGTCCAGGCCACCGTCCCTTGGACCCCCTCCCCGCCCCCGCTTGGCTCCGTG